GGTTATCTCCGGTGAAGGCTCCGACGAGATTTTTGGCGGGTATTTGTACTTTCACAAGGCACCCAACAAGGAAGAGCTCCATCGCGAAACCTGTCGCAAGGTATCTTCATCGTTGACCCTCAAACCCTTAAGTTTTTATTTTTTTTCCTAATCAGGTCGTTAATTAAGTTCGCCGGAATCGTGATTTACATAACGCAGATAAAAGCACTTCACCAATACGATTGTTTGAGAGCAAACAAGTCAACATCCGCTTGGGGTTTGGAAGCTCGAGTCCCATTTTTAGATAAAGAATTCATCAACGTTGCCATGAGCATAGACCCTGAAGCGAAAATGGTAAAGAACAGAGCTTTTTTTTTCCCCTATAATTGAAAGTTTACGATACCAACAAGCTTCATGAACTTATTTGCAGATCAACATGGATGAAAAACGGATTGAAAAATGGATTCTTCGACGGGCTTTCGACGATGAAGATCACCCGTACTTGCCAAAGGTCTCCAAAATCAATCTTTTTATAAAAATAAACTCTGTTTCGAGTTTCGAACCATAATTAAGTTTCTCCTTTTAACATGTTATGTATCATCTCCTACCTACAGCATATTTTATACAGACAGAAAGAACAGTTCAGTGATGGAGTCGGATACAGCTGGATCGATGGACTCAAAGCACATGCTGAACTCCACGTAACAGACAAGATGATGCTTAACGCTGCACATATCTTCCCTTTCAACACTCCAGTCACAAAAGAAGCCTACTACTACAGAATGATCTTCGAGCGATTTTTCCCTCAGGCAAGTTCTTTGTTCTTAGTTCTTATGACTTGTACATCATGCAATAAGTCAAGTACCTTGAATCTTTACACGTTTCCTTTTTCCAGAATTCTGCAAAGTTGACTGTTCCAGGTGGAGCGAGTATAGCTTGTAGTACTGAGAAAGCAATCGAGTGGGATGCATCTTGGGCAAAGAATCTTGACCCATCAGGAAGGGCTGCATTAGGGGTTCATAACGATGCGTATAAGCAGCAGAAGGTGGCTTCTATTGCTGCTGCAGGGAATTTGGCGACAAGTTTGATTGATGATGTGCCAAGGACGATGGATATCCAGGCTCCTGGGGTTGTCATTCGGGGATAAAAATTGGTGTTATTGTTGTATAATTAAGTAAGTTATTACGAGTTAGCAGCATGGCTTTTATGATATGTTGCTGTATTGTATTGTTAGGTTGTGGTTTTGTTTTAATTGTGTGATAATAACTCGAATGTATCGTTGTTTATAGACTCTCGTAACATTTGATGTATAATGTATTTGTAGCTTTGTAAAGCTTGGTTTCTTAAGGACATTGTTTTTAGTAGTTTATTATATGGAATGGAATCCTGAACTAAAGGATGAGAAATTTATTGTCTCGGGCTACGGGCCATTGGGCCTAACCGACCTTTCTAAAAACTAAAAAGCCCACCACCAAAATGAAACGGGTCCGAGCTTTGGCTCGTCGTAAATTGAGAATTTTAGTTTGGCTTTAGTCGATCTCCCCAACTTGACTGTTAAGGGGACATGGCTCAGAGTTGCACAAAACGGTAACCCATGTGCAACTCAAAAGCCAAAATTTGAGCTCTAATATGTGTCTCGGGTTGCAATGACTAGTATAGAATTCGAAGGCTCATTCGACCCTACTTGATATATTTGTGTCTGTAGTCTTTTGACTCATAAAACTTCATAAAACTTAGTATATACTAGAAATTGCTTTCTTCCTACTTTTTGGGGACGTAAGCAAGATTTTGTTTACTATGTGCATGATTTGCGGGGAGGGGGACGTAATTTGATTTAGTGTTAATTTTATTTTATAGTCTTTTTTTCGCATGTTTTAAAAATAAAATATACCTTGGAGGAGTAGCGTTAATTCTTATAAAATGATGTATGAAAGGTAAATGGTGGAAAATGTTGTTGTCCAAATTTGACATGGTGGAAAATGTCATTGTACAAAGTAGGGATGGAAAATGTTAATATACGAAAGTCCATGGACAAAACCTATCAACATAGGAAAGTTTTTTGGCCAAAATATGAAATCTAAATTAAGTAAATGTCTTAACAATATTATTTTCACCGAAAAATGTTACTTCACTAGTTGTGAGACTCATGTAGTACATGAGTTAATTAAAAAAAAGTTAAATATAAATGTCAAAATATTTGAGAACTTTGAATTTATAAGAAAATAAGAAAAATAATAATTTATTACAATGAAAATGTTTTTTATCTTTTAAATTTAAACAAATAATTTAAATAAATAAAAGAAACTAATGAGTTTTAATTTTGAGAATTTTGAAATAAAAATGTAAGTTTATTAGTGAAATTAATATCCATTTATTACTACATTTATTGTAATTATTACATTAAAATATTATGTGAAATTTAATAAAATAGAAAAACTCATATAATGACATGTGGAAAAAAAATTTAATTCAAAATAACCAAAAAATGGCATATGACAAATTGAATGAGAGTGTGACAAGTGACAAAAAATACATTATTTATTAGAGAGGAAAAAGGATGTATTCATGGGAAATTTTTGGCGAAATACATAATTATTTTACGATAGAAGTTAAAAACAAAAGTATTGGATTTATATGCCTTCCTATCATTTCATTTTAGTGAATATAACATATAAATACTAGTATAAAATAACTTGTTTTTGATATTTAGATACCTTATGTTTTGGGCTTGTTAGAATCTGGGCCTTATGTCGGTTTGCTTGCTTCTATAAGGTTGTAGAGGAATCCAGTTTTAATAGATGCATCGACTCGTTGTGCATCTTTCTGGTGGGTTTCTTCGTGGGCGTCTCAGTTGTCATCAGGTTAGATTTTCGTTTAATAAGCTTGCGTGTTTCTGTCTTTATTTTTATTTATGCGTGCGTGTTCTTAAAGGTGGTTGTATGAATCTTAGTTGGCTTAAAATGTTTTTGAGTTCTTCGTCTGTATTATTTTTTATGGATGGATGCTCTGCTAGGGTTCCATATCTTATGATTTTTTCATGTTGAGGTTGGGAAAGATTAAGCAGTTTTTGACGAAATTGTAGGAATTTGTTGAATTTTTTATGTGATTGAATAAAATATCCGTTTTGCAGATGTGAAGATGTGCCTGTGATTCGTATGGTGAGGAAATAATGTTTGATTGTAAATCCTTTTGGTTATAATTATCAAAATCCAATTGTTGTGTTTGTTGGATTTGTAGTTATTAAGTTGAACTCTAATAATAATAAAAAACGATACTATTGTTGAATGCAGGTTGTGATAACTTAAAAAAAAATTGTAAGGGAAAGGAAAGAATGGCGAAGCATCATCCTGATTTGATCATGTGCCGAAAGCAGCCAGGAATTGCAATTGGAAGGCTTTGTGAAAAATGTGATGGAAAGTGTGTGATATGTGATTCTTATGTGCGTCCTTGCACGCTTGTACGTGTGTGTGATGAGTGCAACTATGGTTCATTTCAGGGTCGTTGTGTTATATGTGGAGGTGTAGGCATTTCTGATGCATACTATTGTAAAGAGTGCACACAACAGGAGAAAGATCGAGATGGGTGCCCAAAAATTGTGAATTTAGGTAGTGCAAAAACAGATCTGTTTTATGAACGGAAAAAATATGGGTTTAAGAAAAGATGATCTATAAATTGCCTATATAATATCATTTGCTTGTAAAACCTTAACATATAACCATTTAGGCATTTAAGTATTTGGTCTTGTTTGTGTATTAGATGTTATACATTCTATAGTTGGTTATTATCCTCTTTGAATAACTTGTTTGTGTATTATATGTATTTGCAAGACTTTATTATCTTTGACATGCCATCTGTAGGCCATGTTTTTTTAGCATATATGTTTATGCCTCAGAAGGGCATTTATTTTTAAACATATCATGTCGACATAATAAGCATCTCCCTCCCTATAGTTGTCCCAACTTCCAAAAAATTTAGTTTCATTTGAATTTTCTTCTCAGTTTTCTAAGTGTCTAAAAAAACATATAATGTTCCCTATTTGATTACAGTTTTGGATCTTGTAGTTTTTAATTTTGCATTAATTATAATTTTGGTCCTTGTAACTTATAACTGGGAGATCAAAGTTTCATACTTTTTGCAATTATTTTGTTACTATAAGTGAGAAAAAGAGAATTATGACTGACTACATGAGTAAATGTAAATGAGGTCCCATTTCATGTATGTACATCACATTCATTGCTCTTTTGATATGGCAGACTCCCATGAATGATGTTACCCCTTTTAGCTAGTATAAATATCCAATTACACTATTAGTTATAAGAAAAAAAAAAGATATTAAAATCTCAACTATTGTTAATAATTTTCAAACGATTAATATGCAAATACTTTGTTAAGTACGTAAAAGTCTCATAATCATGTTTAAGATACTCGGTTAACGTGAGTAGAATCAAAATATTACATGTATTGATATTGATATTTTATGTTATTGTTGCACAAAAATGAAAAGGCACATTTTCAGTAAAAAAATGGGAACATACTTTTAAAATCAATATTTACTATTTAGCGTCATGTCTTATAAACTCATAAGATAAAAGCCTCAACTAATAACAAAATTCAATTTCTATATTGGTAAAATGCTTGATTAATTACAAAAATCAATTTCTATATTAGGTAACCGAAACTATTATTTTATTATACATACGCATAGTCTCATAACCTAATTACATAAATCCTTATAGTCTTACATGTCGTTTTCAAAAAAAATTACATTTTTTAAAGTTAAACAAATTAACGCATAATTACGATATAATATAACACCATAATTGAATAAAGATTTTTTTTCAATATACAATATAGAGGATCATAAAAACATAAATTAAAGTACTTTCCCTCAACATTCAAATGAATATCCCGCCACACTTTTTTTCCCTGTTCCCTTTTCTGGTATTCTTTCTTTACATCTCTTTTCCTTTCAGTTTTCAAATCATTACTACTCTGAATTCAATTGTAATCATCAAACCACCATGAAATTCTTTCGATCTGAAACCCGATTATCCAATTTCAAACATGCCACCGGCTGCTGTCTTCCCGGAGTTCTACGCCGCCTGTCCTGCTTCCGTGGTCTTGCTGCCACACAGCACCACCGCATCAAGGAATCAACAGAGCTTCGTTGCACTTCATATAATCCCGGAATCGTGGCGAAGCTAATGGGACTGGAGTCAATCCCACAAAGGATTACTTCAGTTCATCGTCAACAAGATCACAGAAATTCCAATTCCAGAAGCCAATCCATCAGTAAAACACCAATGGTTTTAGAGCTTGAAAAAAGAAAATTCTTCATCCTTGGTCTCGAAGCAGGATGTAAAGGTGAGGAGTGATCATTAATTTGTCCCAATTCACAGAATTTGACTCTGGAAATTGAATCACGGTTTCTGTTCTTGATTTTGTTGAATTCCCAGATCATGAATTCGAATAAAACGTTTGTTGATGATGATTTAGATGAACAATTTCAGGTAAAAGGAGATTCAAGATCGGATTCTAGGAGGAAATTATTAGAACATGATGGATCAAAGAAGAAGTCAAATGGGGTGTTGAAAGAAGGTGCAAATGTTGATTTCGATTTGGAATTTTTTGATCAATTGGTTCTGGAGTTAGTATACATATTTTGAGTCTTCACTTATTATAATTGTAGTTTTCAACTAATTTAATGGGTGGTGTTGCTCACAAATAGCCCACTCTTGAAGAAGTGTAGTGTGGTTGTCCTGTCTGTTTTTCTTTCTTTTTCTGTGTATGTACTCTTTCCAGCTCCTCGCTGGCTTTTCCTGTTTTAGTAAAATTTTCTCGCAGTTTTAAATATAAAACAATTTAAGTTTACGTTTTATCCATAAGGTGTTTTGATATTTATGGGGCATTTTATTCGTTTTTTATAGTGATTATTGTATGGATTTAATAGAATAGAATTATATAATTAGCCTTTACAAAATTATTAAGGGTAAATGTCCAGCCTATAATGCGAATTTTATTGAAGTAAATCAAGTAACCCGTATATATAAAAAAAATATAATAAGTGATCTATTTATGTTCATCAATAAAATAAAATAAAAACTTTGACTCCTTAAAACCCCAATTATTTGAATCCATCCGTATGTACTGTACCAAATGTTTTGTAATGTCTTGATTTCTTGTAATAAATTATGTTTTCCTGACATCTGTTCAGGAGCGGAACACGAAAAGTTATACCGGGGGGCCGAAACTAAATTTTTAAAAGAAGCACTAAAATATATTTATTCGATTCAACGTCATAAAATATAAAAAATCAAACAAAAAAATTAATATAAAATATTCTAACATCGCTCATTAAAGTGGAATCCGTCGATATTTAACGTCTTTAAAGTCTTGCACAATCGTCTCTAAAGTAATCTTTTCTGCAAGCTCCTTTTCGAAGTATAAAACCAACGAATTGTTCAAAAATTCATCTTCCATTTTATTTCGTAGCCTTGTTTTAACAAGACTCATTGAAAATGATAGATAATAGTATTATACAATTAAAAAACAAGACTTATTCTAAAAGGTTTTATCAAAAAACAAATGATAGATAATAGTATTATACAATTAAAAATTATAGCCTATTAATTTGACAGCTAATAGTAGTAATCAATTAAAAATTATAATTTGACAGCTAATACAGAAGATATTAGTTTCAAACATCAACATTATAGAAAGAGAAACACAAACGTCCTTATGATATTATAGAGAGAGAAAGAAGAGAAAGAAAGAAGGAGACTGGAGAGAGAACCAAGAAGCTTACAAGGGGATAGCCGATCGGAGAGATTGAAGAGTCGCACCGTCTAGTCGGAGATCGATCTATCGGTGGCCGGAGACGCAGAAGTCAGAAAGGGCGTCACTTAAGCATTCCGGCGGCGGCAGTGGCTGGTACTGTAGCGATTTGTGGTCGGAAACACAGAAGATATCAAGGCAATGTTGGTCGGAGTAACAGAAATCAGCAAGGGCGGTGTCAACCGGAGACCCAATGGGTACGTTTTCCGGCAATGGGTTTTTTCCTGTGCTAACTTAGGCGGTGGATTTTTGGGCGACTCAAACGGATGAGCACTCCGGTGGTGGGTATGATTTCCGGCAAAAGCAAATTTGATGATCTCTTATCTTGTGAATAATTTGGATGTTAAATTTGTTGTTTGTTTTCTTTTATAGAGTCTAGTTTCCTAAAATCAGTTCAGTATCTTAGTTTTATTAGAATTGTTATTGATTTTTTTCATCAAACTTCTGGCTTCTGTTGGAACCGATTTATCGTGCGTAATAATCGAAGATAACCGATTTGCTGATTATTTAATATTCATAGTTAATTACTTTTTTAAATAATTTTTTCAATTACGGAGTATCCTTACTATATATAATACATCGCAGGGGCCAAGACGTTAGGAAACTGATAAATCTATTATTATATATATAACATATGTATTAGAATGCCAAAAATCAGGGGGGCCATGGCCCCCCCTGGCCCTCTCTTAGCTCCGCCTCTACATCTGTTCAATTTTAAAAAATGAAAGTGATTGGTAGTTTTATATTTGGAAATTTATGAAAACTTTATGTTTTACATAGATTTTCATTTAAACCTTTTTTAATTGCGTCAAAATCCCAGAGTCCGTGTTAACTAATTAATTTTTCCGTTTTAGGAACTTTGTTTTAGAACGGTAATAAGGCTGGTGGGTGTGGTTCAGCAAAGAGTTTGACAAAGCTGACATGACTTCGGTGAACACTGCTCTCCGTGTCCATGGCAAACACTCGGCAATATAAGTCGGTATATATCTACCGAGAGAGAAACACTTTTTGAACTGAAAGTTACAATAATGATCCCTGAAAATTCTTTTTTGATACACTTTTTACCCAAACTTAAAATAAAAATACTATATTTACCCTTTAACTTTATAAGAATTAACATTTAGATTTATTTCCTTTCATTTAATGTTTAATACTCTTTATTAATTTAAATAAATCCCTTCTATTTAAGTTAATTATTATTATATCCCAAAAATATAAGTTAATTATTATAATACTCTTTAGTTTTAAAATAACTTGTTTAAATTAATTATTTTTAATATAATTAATTTACAAAAAATTAAAAAAAGAAAGAATTACAAATGTGGCAACCCACGCCTTCTAAATGGCAAATGTGGCATGCAGTGTGGCAAATATGATGTGGCGCTGATATGAACCGTGGCAAGTGTGACACCACACTCACCAGCCTAAGTAGTTAACTTAGAAGGTTTAGGCCTTATGTGGCAATTTTGTCGACGGTGAATACCACATCCCAACCTTTTTCTTTTTTTGCCAATGGTAAATTTCAATGGTGAACTTTCACCAATGACAAATCTTAATGGTAAACATTTTTTTGTTTCCTAGTTGGTCATTGCAAATTTAAGTTTTTTTATTTATTTCAAAGGTAAAAATATCATCACACCCTATTCATAGGCAAATTGTGGCAAAAATGGTAAAATCCTTTATGGCATCTATGTGTCACACTTTTACCATTGAAAAAACAATCACCACACCATTAAGCCTTAGTTTGACAAATTTAGTAGATTTCACATGGTAGTTGATATTAGCGACAATACCCAAAGCACCACGCCATCCTAGCTAGGGATGAGCATTTGGACCGGGGAACCGGTCGAAACCGGTACCGGAACCGGAACCGGATAGAATCGATCGGGCTGGGACCGGGACAATATTTTTGTGGATTTTTGGAACTAGGAACCGGTAGAGCCGGAACCGGTGGAACCGGCAAAAACCGAAACCGTGTGTTGCTATTTCTCGAGGATCGGTTCCAATATTGAAGACACGACAAGAACTGGTAGGAACCGGGAACCGGTAGAACCGGCGATCCGGTTCGGTTCTTAATTTCGGCCGACTTCGGTTCCCGGGTCCGGTTCGGGTCGGTTCCTTTGCTCATCCCTAATCCTAGCCATTGTCATAAACCCCAATCATTCTTATCTTCTTCTTCACAAACACATGAAAACAAAGTCACGGAGTTAATAATCTTAAAACTGAGTAGTAGTTGAGGATCACACTTTCAGATCTAGAATACAATGCCACGAGACATAAGCATTTAATGTGGTTCTACATTCGGGGTGATTGTGTGCATCCACAAGGAAAACCGACGAGTTATATTATTGACCAACAATCAAATGGTTTTACAAATCACTTACACTTGACCAAAATGAAATAAATAAATAAATAAAACAAAACCAAATTTGTCTTCAAAAAACGCCAAAGAGAAAAGATTAAAATTAGCCCTAAAAAGACTAAAATCATGTATTTAAAGAAAACATATTAGTTGAAAACCAATACTTGGTCGCCATCTCCAGGTGGCCGACAAGTGGTTTAATAGTTGAACATCACCGGTTGAAGTGTCAAAAGGTGACAAACATGTGGTTGTGGACATCGTGGTCTTCTGTTTCACAATGTTAAAACCATTGCCACGTGAAATAGGTAGCAGATGGCCAATATGTAGTCATTTGTAACTGTCTAAAATTTCACACATGATTTCCAAACCGATAGTGTTTGTATGCATTTATGTCAAAATTACAAAACCCAGCTTTAAAACCAATGCACCCACAACAACTAATGTCTTGTCAAATGACCTTCTTTCATCCCTGGCTTCTCAAAATGGCCGAGTAGGAAATGATGTGTATCACCACGGGCGAACATAGGGGGTTCTTAGAGTAGTCGATGCAACCCCTCAAAATTAGCAGCAATGTAAATTTTTTGGGGAACTTTTCGGCATAATGTAAATTTTCCGACGAACTACCCCTAAAATCATGTGTGATACCCCTAACATTATGTCTTGTCTGCCACTGTGTATAACCAGTTTGAATGGATTCCCTAAGGAAAAAATTCATACACTAGTAGTTTGTAACACCCGGAATCCAGAAGGTCAAGAAAAGAAAGAAAAGCTCCAAGTCAAGAGGTCTACTCATCGAGTCCAGGGAGGAACTCGACGAGTAGGAGCGGATTTTTTAAGTCACGGATTAAGTGACCGACTCGACGAGTCGGAGGACCAACTCGACGAGTTGGTCAGCGTTTGGGAAACCCTAAATTCGGGCCTTGTACCCTATTTAAAGAACATGAGGCCTCTCACCCAGCCCCCTTACTACCCTCTCAAGTCCATAAACGGAACCCTAGCCACCTAACTTCATTTCTTGAGCTTTGTGAAGATAAAGGTTCATTTGGAGTGTACATCTTGGAGGATTGGAAGCAAGGATCAAGGAAGGAAGTGTAGATCCAGCTCTTACTTCAGTTTGTGTGACATCCCCTAACTTCTCGGCCAAAAAAGACCGATTTAATTTATGCTTTTTAAAATAAAATCAGAGAAATCTTTTTAAAAGATGTTGCGGAATTGGTCCCCAATACAAAATATGATAAAAGTTTGTCAAAACCTTTCTTTAAGAAATATATAATTTCATTTCATATCAAAACCTCGGGATGTCATGTTCCGATACAGATCAAAAGTATAAACAAGACATTATAAGCCTTTCAACAGTTATTTACAACTACTGGCCTATAATCCAAAAATCTCTCATCGTCCTCCGACTATGCTCGGGGTCCACTACCTGTAACATAAAAAGCTGAGTGGGTCAGGCTTGGGAGCCTGGTG